CTGCCAGCCAAGGCTAAAGTGCCCAGGCCCTGAGCTCCACTGTTTTGCCAGTGTGGCTGAGAGTGCAAGCGCAGGGGCGGGAGGGGGCAGCGTGGAGGAGAGTTCTGACCAAAGGGAATGGCTCCAAATCCATCCTTCCCTTTGAAAGAAAGACACTTCTGCTGTGCCTTCTCCCAGTCCGGGACCTTCTAGCCAACTCAGTCCTACATGCCTGATCTCAAGAGTTCCAGCCTTAAACCACAAGGTCTGGGCAGTTCCCCTCCAGTCCTAGAGCACACTCTCCTGCTATTCATTCATTCATTCATTCATTCATTCATTCATTCATTCTCTCCTGCTATCCATCCATCCATCCATCCATCCATCCATCCATCCATCCATCCATTGGTTTATCCACTCCTTCAGCCGTTCATTCAAAAGATATTACTGAGCCGTGCTATGTACTCCAACTGGGGACCCAGTAGCCATGAACTCACATCCCAGTAAGAAGACAGACAATAAACCAAGTAGATCAACAAATGTGGGGATGAAGTCGGTTCAGGAGAGAGACTATGGAAAAACTAAATAGACAAATGTGACAGAGCAGTAGCTGGGGTGGTGAAGGAAGGTCTCCCAGAGGAGGGGGCACTGGACACTTGGCCTTGACAAAGAAAGGCTTTTCTTCAGCATTTCCCTTTCCCCAGCTGTGTGCAGAGCCCTCAAAAGGGGAAAGCTGCTTCCAGGAGGGCTGAGCAGGAGTTGCAAAAGGGAGGGAAAAGGGGACCGTGGGGATGTGCCTGCCAGGGATAGGGGTGCAGGACTTACAGCAGAGGGCCCTGCTGACCCCCATCGTGCCCCAGTATGTAGTGCAGTAACCAGAAGTACCGAGATATGGCCAAGCCGGGGGTGTCAAGGGCAGCTGGAGCAGCTTCAAGACAAACAGCAAGCCAGGGGAAGTGTTAGCTGCAGGAGAAATGACTCACTTGGAGAGCAGAGGCTGGGCCCAAACTTGACTTCAGTGCCCTCCGAGTTGCCAGATGGCTGGCAACCCTTGTGAGGGGACTGGATGCAAGTGGCTTGGCTTTTAGCAAAGGAGGGATAGATGGATGGATGGATGGATGGATGGATGGATGGATGGATGGATGGATGAATAGATGGATGGATGGATGGATGGATGGAAGGAAGGAAGGAAGGAAGGAAGGAAGGAAGGAAGGAAGGACAGGCTGATAGATGAACAGATGATTGCACACAGACAGAAATAACCAACTACTCTTATTAGTGTTCTCTCCTGAAAGTTGCGTTTGTAGGGACTTGAGAGAAGGGGTCAGTGATGGTTTTCATGAGGGAAACACACGCCCAGCATGTTGTCATAAACCCCACACAGGCACTAGCCAGTGCCTGGCTCTTTCCGAGTCCATAAGATGCAATGTAGAAGGTAGAAGGCTGTAGTGCCGATTCCAAGAAGGACCTCAGGGCCTAGAAGGGCTTCCCGTTGAAGGCATCACACGCTGTGCCCCAGGGGCTCAGGGTTTGAAATTCCCCAGGTAGCTGAGGAATAGGCTGGATAATGAGGCAGTAATTAAACAGGTACTAAAAGCCCCGGTGGGGGGTGGGTAGGTGGCGGGAGGCAGTGCTTAAAGAAAGCTTCCTGGAACTCAGCAGGTTTTCAGCATTGAGGGCATGCACGCAGCTGGAGAATATTGTGATTACACCTGTGACTGTCTTGTACCCATTCATTCCGATGCCCATGGTCTTCTGCTTATGTCTGGACCTGGAATCGGAGGGCTTGGGGGAGCAGTAGAAGGTGTTGCTGCCGCCATGTAGGTGTGTCCGGGCAGCTCCTGCGTAAGGGGACGGACCAGCCTGCTCACTGGGAACTCCTTGGCAAAAATTCACCAGTAAGCCGCCTGACCACATGCCGTTTTTGTTCATTCATTCCACACGCATTTTAGGAGGACCTACGATGTGTCAAGACCCGCAGTGAAAAAAACAGGACTGGCCCCTGTTCTAAGAGAACTCACTATTTTTGTGCAGCCCCAGGAGGCAGGCTCTTAATTTTGTCGCTTAATTCCTGAAGAGGGGGAGGGAGAGTAACTGCTTGCTTTTGGCTAAAGGAAACTAAAGACCTTGAACTAATCCAAACTATTACGGCAATGGGCAGTGGATGGAACCCTGAGTCCAACAGCCCCGGCTTTAATATTTTATTTCACAAATATCTGTGTGGCACCAAGCACCGCAGATGCTGCCCTCTAAGAGCCTCTGACTAGTGAGGTCAAGATTCACACTGACCCCGGGGCACCTGGGGGGCTCAGTCGGTTGAGCATTCGACTTCAGCTCAGGTCATGATCTCACAAGTTCCGGTTTGTGGGTTTGAGTCCCAACCGGGCTCTGTGCTGACAGCTCAGAGCCTGGAGCCTGCTTTGAACTCTGTGTCTCCCTCTCTCTCTGCCCGTTCTGAGCTCATACTCCGTGTCTCTCTCTCTCTCAAAAATAAATAAAAATTTTAAAAATTAAAAAAGGAAAAAAAGGTTCACACTGACCTGAACAAAAAAGACAACAACAAGGTCCAACAAAGACTCAGCACATGGGAGAACCAAATCCCACGGGGTGATGCGGGAAGGCTTTCGGGAGGAAGGGCTCCAGCTGGACCCCAAATCATTAACAAGACAAAAGTGCAGGTGAAAGATTGGGGAGTTCTAGGCAGAGGAAACCCCTAAACTGCTGTGTACAAGCAGAACTTGGCAGTTTCTGAAAACTGAAAGAAATGGGCTGGACGGGAGCATTTGGGACGATGGGAGCCTCATTCATGTTTTCGTCTCTGAACTTGGAAAATGAGATGGCTTCTCCTGAGTTTCAGTATACTCATCTGCAAAATGGGTAGAACAAGGTGAGCTTTTCGGGGGTGGGTACGGGGATTGGGGGATGACCTGTGGATGGCTTCTGGTACAATAGGTGATTAATAAATATAAGATGACTTATATCTGCGTGGCTTACGTCTGCGGGCCAGAGAAGCTCAGGTCCCAGTGGGCGGCGGGGGAGGGGTTTGGACCTGTGCACCCCTGGCCTAGGTTTTCGGAATATCTTTATTAACGAGCACTTCAAGGTAAGCCGCGATGGAAACCAGATGTGGGATTGAGCGGGCGGCGGCGGCGGCAGAGCAAGGAGCAGAGATACCAAGGGAGTGGGGTGGGGGTTAGGATTAGCCTGGATGAGGCTGGGGGTAGAGGCATGACCCCCCCAGGTCTTTTTTCTCTGGGATATGGTGGGTGCAGAAGATTGATTTCCGACCCACACCCCTGGGTTCATGGTGCTCAAGCCCTCTCTCGTTTTACTTTGCCCCTTTCTCTCTCACCCTATGCCCAGCCTCCCTCAAGGTAAGTCCTCAATCCAGGGATTTTCCCTGCAGTTTATCATAAGCTGCTCTAAGTGGTCTCCTTCAAACCAAGTCACTCCCCGGTGGAAAATCCGTTTCCTCCGCGCTTTGCGTTTCCACAGTCCCCAATGCCATCCCAGGACCGAGGAGGGACTGCATGCATGTAGCATGACAGCATGGTTTCCAAGGCGGGCCTCAGCCAGGTCACCACACCCCTCTGAGCCTTGGTTTGTTCTTCAAAAATTGGGGACCCCAACTTTCCCACCGCTCACAGTTGTTGCGAGGCACAATCGATGACTAACCCTGGGGAAAGGGCCGGCGCACCTGAAAAGTTCTTTTCCCTTGCTGTGGCTGGTCCCAGTGTCCCCACGTCGCCTAGGGAAACCACAACCCATCAAATCCAAGCCACCAATCTAATGTGGGAGACAGTGAGTCTAAAGGGAAAGGAGGCACCTCACCCTTACCCCAAGCCTTGAGCAGGTGACAGCGTGAGGACCAGGTGCAGCCATCAGGGCTCCCAACTCCTTGCTCTCAACCCCACACACTGAGACAGAGACCCAGAGAATCCCCGGGGCTGGGTGCAGTTCTGGGGAGAGCAGGGCTCTGTCCCAGGAGGGGAGGGAAGGGACCGAGCTGTAAGGCTTCCCCAACCTGGCGCATGGAGGATCTCTTGGTGCTTGAGTGAACACGGGCCCCTTGGCACCCTGACCCAGCGCCCTTCTAGGGCAGGGAAAGAGTTAATAAGAGGGGAAAGTGGCGGGCACAGGACTCCTGCCGGGAGTGTGTGTTAATTTCGTGGAGGGATCGAGAACGGGGGAAGAGGCTTTGGAAACAGAGGAAAAGTGGGAAAGCCCGGAGCTGCGCCCATAAATTCGAAGGCAAGTGTCCAAAGGACTCACCCACATCGGGGAGTCTAGGGACCCTTCAGACTCCACCTAAAACCTTTTGGGTGTTTTTTGTTTCTTTTCTTTTCTTTCTTTCTTTTAATTTGTAACTAAAGTTTTGCATGCCCCCCTCCCCTAAGCCAAATCTTGGATCTGCCAATTCTACGCCTAGCCTCAGGAGTCCTGTGGAGGGGGGCAGGGCAGCGCCAGTCACCTCTCAGGGCCTAGAATCCCCTAGAATCCGAAAGGCCCTCGGGTGCCTCCGGGTTTAATCCCCAGCAAACGAGTTGGTAGCATCTTCTTAAGAGAGAGAGGAAGGGAGGAGCAGGGGGGGTGGAAGGAGAGCAGGGGTGGGGAGAGAGGGAGAGAAGGAAGGAGAGAGTCTGGGGGGTGGACTTCACTCCCCCCCCCCCAAAAAAAAACCTTAAGAGGGTTTGGGAGATCTGGTCAACTTTCTGAAACATCTGAATCTTTTTACAGCCCTCCGTTCTTTCCCTGGGCCAGCTGTGGGGAGGGAGAAGGAAGAGAGAGGAGGAGGGGAGAGAGAGATTGAGAGAGGGGAGAGAGAGATTGAAGGAGGGGGGGGGAGAGAGAGAGAGAGAGAGAGAGAGAGAGAGAGAGAGAGACGTGGAGGGGAGGAGGGCGAGCAGGCCGGCGCGGGGCGCAAGGCCACCGCCTCCTCGCCTCTCCAAACTCCCGGCCAAGGCGCGCGGTGGCGTCCTCGCGCTCTCGCTCGCGCCCCCGCCCGTCGCCCGCGCAGGCCAGGCATGAATGCTGAGACTTGTGTCTCTTACTGCGAGTCGCCGGCGGCTGCCATGGACGCCTACTACAGCCCGGTGTCGCAGAGCCGGGAGGGCTCCTCGCCTTTTAGGGCATACCCCGGCGGCGAGAAGTTCGGCACAACTTTCCTCTCGGCCGCCGCCAAAGGGCAGGGATTCGGAGACGCCAAGAGCCGGGGCCGCTACGGCGCGGGGCAGCAGGACCTGGCGGCACCCCTGGAGAGCGGCGCCGGGGCGCGGGGCTCCTTTAACAAGTTCCAGCCGCAGCCGCCGCCGCCCGCCCCGCAGCCGCCGCCGCCGCAGCCGCAGCCGCCGGCGCAGCAACCGCATCTCTACTTGCAGCGCGGCGCTTGCAAGACGCCCCCGGACGGCAGCCTCAAACTCCAGGAAGGCAGCGGCGGCCACAACGCGGCCTTGCAGGTCCCCTGCTACGGTGAGTGCACGTGCGGGGCGCTCGGGGCTGGGGACCCCGGGGCCCAAGCTTTCGAGCGCTCGAAGCCCACTCGGCTTTCGGGAGGCAGGACTTGGCGGACTGGGGAGGCGCGGGGCCGAACAGCGGGGTGGCTCTGGGTCGTTAAATAGGAACCGACTGCTCCGAAGGGTCCCTGGAACCCGCCCTGCCACCTTCATATCCCCCAGCCGAGGGCTCGGCGCGTTTGGGCCGTTAAATACGACCCGGACTTGGTTTCTCCCCGTCTTCGCCGGCTCCCCAAACCGCTCGCTCTGCGCCGCCCTCGGGGCCGCCTTTGGAGCGGACGCTGCGCCCCGGCCCCGGGCGCGCGGAGGCGAACAGTCCCGGAGCAGCGCTCGCGCGCGGGGCTCCGGGGCTGCCGAGGCCTCGCTCCCCGCGGGCCCGGGGAGGCTCCTCCTCGGGCGGTGCTGCAGGTGGGGGCGTCGCAGGTGCCGAGCCCGCCGGGAGCCCGGCGCGGTCGGCGAAGCGCGCCCAGGATGCGGTGGAACAGGGCGGGGGGCCACACGGGTGCCGGGCCCCGGACGCCCAGGGAGTCATCGGAGCCCCAGCTCGCACCCCCCAAACCCACGCACCCCACAAGCGCGGCTCGTCGCGGAGAGACAGGCCGGCTCACGCTCCAGGCGTTTCTTCCGTGGCTAACCTGGGGGGCGGCTGGCCTCGTTCGGAACAATGGTTCAGGACCGACCCGCAGGAAGGCAGGGAGCCGCAGAGCCCGAGGCAGCGAGGTGCTGGGGGGAGAACGAAGGTTCTGGGTCCTGATTTGGGCCAACGGGGAACCCGAGGCCTAAATGACCTCCAGGCCCCCTTGAGCTCACAGGCGGGCCATAAGCCTGGGCCCCCAGAGCTCAGCAACGGTGGTGGAGGAACCGGAGGCCTGAGACCAGAGCAGCTCAGGAGCCTATCGGCCTTCTTTCCCACCGAATCGGGATTGATGAGCCCCAGGCCAGCAGAGAGAACCCCAGAGGGGAGAGAAGAATCTTCTCTGGGCTAGGAGCCCTGGGTACACACTCTATCTGAGACCTTGGCCTTCAGGCAGGGCCCTGGAGATGAGCTAGTGGGGACAGAGCAATGCCTTTGGCTGCACTGGCCCAGGCTGGATGAAGAGACATAGGACATGGTGGAGGCCTCGGCGCCTTAGGAAAACAGCACGAACACACTTTCTTACATTCAAACTAGCTTTCCCAAAGGCCCCGAACTGGCTCTGTAGGTGGTTGCTGACCCATTTTTACACAGTCATACACTTGAGCACACGCACACACACAACCTCTTCTTCATGAGCCAACATGGTCACACACCAAATACGCTCACTCATGTGGCCTCGCACATAGTCACACATTCCCAAACCCAAAGGACAGGACCGAGAGCAGATTTAGAAAGACCCGGTGGCCTTTCCCCACTTCCTCCACCTTCCCTCTGCACCATCCTGTTGGAATGAGATCAGGCACTCAGATCACAGACACCCACACAGGTGCTCCTTCCACACTCAGGCAGGCAGGGGCTGTCAGCCCTTGTCAGCAGGCACCCGCCGGCCAGGGCCTCGCCCTGGCTCAGGCTCCCTCCTCCTGGCCTCACTCAGGCTCCTCCGGGTCCCGTCTTAGGGGACTATCAGGTGAGAGCAAGTCAGAGCCTGGGGAAACCATGGAGGTCCATTGTGCAAAGCCAGGGACCTGATGTGTTTTCTCTCCCACTGCCCTGGATTCCCCAAGGAGGAAGAGACGTTACATAAGAAGAGGTCCCAAGCTGCCTCCAACCTCTTGTTTGGAAGATGCCTTCAGGTGCAGGGGGAGGGGGGAAAGGGCTGGCCCCTTCTGGACACCCTCTCAGAGCCCTGCTGAGCGCCCCACACCAGCCTGGCCCTTCCTCTACTTGCCTTACCTAGTAGAGCAAGTTACTCCTCTAAAGCCCTTTCCTCATCTGCATCGTGGGGAGAGAGTGTTGGTAACTGACATCACTGGATGGTGAGTGCCCCCCCCCCCCACGGTAGAGAGCGAGAGTGTGGTGTACCCTCCTCCAGGTACTTAATCAGCTGTTGGGAACCTGTGAGCCCCCACATCTTTGCCCCTGCTCTGGGCAAAGCCACAAGCTGCAGATGGGGACGGAAGGCAGCCCCAAATCAGCTGTAGGGCCCCGCATGCCCCTGCTGCCTGAGACAGAGGCACTGCTCAGGGCAAAGCCACAAACAGCACACAGCTCTGTGTAGTCTTTCCTGGCCGGGAGGAGATTTCTGGCCCTTGTAAAAATGAGATTAGGCACATGGAGTCTAAGATGAGAAACCGAGACACCAAGAGGTGAGGCTCTGCCCTTTACACAGGCAGCTGGGAGGAGGGCATCTGGAGTCAGCTCTGTGGGCGGCCAGCAAGCAGGGAAACTGAGGCACACGCCGGTGGCAGTTCTCTCCCATGCTTGAAGAGTGTGGACTCAAAAGGGGGTAAATGAGATTCTACGAAAAAGCCTGGGGGTGTTCCCAGGAGCTCAAGGCCTCCAGAGCTAAGCTCTACGGGGCTGCTGTCTGGCTGACCGAGGGTAGCTTGGACTTTGCGACCTTCCTTCCCGGCTCTTTTGGTCCCTCGGCTGGAAGCGGGGTCTCGATCGGTGTAACTGCAACTAGACGAAGGCGAGGCTCGGGAGACCTCCTCCGGGACCTCAGCCCTGAGAACCACTCCTCGAGTCCAAGCGCTCCGGCCTAGGAGCTGCGCCGGGGCCACGGGGAGAGAGCGCGCTGCGGCCGGGAAGCCGCCTCCAGTCCCCGGCCACCGGTCTTCTCTGAGCTGCAGAAAGTAGAGGTGAGAATCCTCCCAAGCTGCAGGCCCTTGATGAACAAGATGATTTCGCAGTCCCCTCCGGGTGCAGGGGATAATTTCGATTTTACGAATGCGCCTGCTGCGATCACGACCTCGCCGGGCTCCGGGTGCGCACTTCGGCCTTCGAAGTCCTTGCTGGTCCCTGGCCCGTCCTTGGCCCCGTGCGACCCAGCAGACACTCCAGGTTGGAGACCAACGTTTCTCAGCGGCACAAAGAGCTTCCTAGTCTCCCGAGTGAGGGCCCCGGCGCCTTGCCCCGAAACCCCCGGGCCGCCTCCCAGAGCCGCGGCCTCCGCCATGCGCCCCAGGACGCTTCAGGGAGCAGCCCTGCTCCCTCCCTCTTTCGCTTTCGATTCGGTGCACGCAGGTTTGCGTTGCTAGCCGCTACCTTGCCATCCCACCCCGGCCCCCCGGGCCACCGGCCCCTCGCGCCCCGCCCCCCCGCCCCCTGAGAGAAGCGCGGATCTCAAAGGTCGGAGACGCAAGCCAGGCCGGAGACCCCTGGGGTGCCGCCGAAGGGCTGCTCCAGATTTGTCGAATTAGACGCAGTGTTTGAATGCTAAGGATATTTCTTTCCCTGTGCCGACATAATCATTACACCACCAAATGTGTAACCTCCGGCCGGATCATATTCGAAGTTAGTCAAAGGACCGGCGTGTGGTTTTGTATAAGAGAAGCCCAAAATAAAACAGCGAGAAATGGACACTGGAGAAGAAGCAATTAAGAGGCGGTGGGTGATTGTAGCATGATGGAGAAAAAAACAGCAGCTCGTGAGCTGTGTCGTTGCCGACCCCCCCCCCCCAGCCTCCGTCAATTTTGGAAGAGGATGTAGAGAAGGAAAATGCTTTTAATGTTTTACGTGGTTAATTTCTGTAGCCACCAGCGGCTTGAACAGTCTGCCTAAACTCATAGGAGCTTAAATAGAAAAACAGAAGACCTAGATTAAGGGTTTAGTATTTTAAAATCAATTAATTTGCACAGTTTTCTTTATTATAATTTATATACAGTGTAGTAGTACACAGCTAAGCGGAAAGTTTGAAGAGTTGTTCCGTGTGTGTACGCTGGTATAACTACCGTCTAGATCAAGATACAGATGTGTATGAACACGAAAATTAGGGGGGAATTTTTTTGTGTGAGTTGTTTTAAGAAAATTTCAGAAGAGACTTCGAGAGCTGGGGAGCTCCCCCCACCCCCCGTTGGCGACTGTTGTGTTTCTTGAGTAGGGTGACCTTGGACACCTGGGCATTTGTACCACCCGGACTGGAAAACGACTTCCCGGCTGCAGCAGAAACCTCAATGCGGTGGCGGCGGGGCTCTCCCAGAGTCTCCTAAGCCCCCGCCACGGGGGCTGCAAAACGGAGCTGGGGTAGGGAAACAAGTTAAAATACCATTGGTTAAATTTCTCCGAAGTCCCTAAGGACTTTGTTTTGGCGAGCAGCTGGGCACACTTTTCCCCGGGACACCTTTAGGTCGGTCTCAGCCGCTTTTTTCCTGCACCTCTGCTGTTGGCTTTGTTTTGATGGCAAATGGAAATATGAAGCAGAACATGGAAATAGGGAGGCTGGTGCAGTTATGCGGGTGAGGTCTCCGCTCCTCTGGGTTCAGGCTTCTCCACTGGCCCTTGGACCAGGGTGCTTGAAGCTGCATGTGGGGAAACCTGCCTGGAGCACCTGAGGCTCCCAGGGCATGGGTGTCGGAATCGGAATCGGGAAGCCGGACTTGGTGATGCGCACGTTTTGGGGAGAAGGGAAGACAGGCTGTGACCCAGTACTTGGCTAGAGAGGGCTCCCCATACCCAAAGCCCCCTGCCACGACCCCTCCTCCCCAACCCTCCCCATCTAGACCCAGGCACTGTTTTGGGTGGGGCAGCGAGAGCCCGGTATGCGCCTGCCAGGCGCCATCTGGCCACGTGCTTCTGAATGTACGGGGTTCCCCGGTCTTCGCTAAAGTGACAAGGCGGGTCATCAGATTAGGAAACCAAGACAGCCATGTGCTGGTACTGCTCCGTGAATTCATAGTTTAAGACCCAGGGTTGCCCATGCTCAGGGGCGCTGGGCACCACTCGGCTTCCGCTGGTCTGGATTAGACACAAGAGACCTTTCTTCCAAACAGTTCCCTTTTGCGGAAGGAAGAGGCATCACTCTCCAGCCAGCAATCCGT